TACCAAAGGAATATTGTTTTTAAATTGTAATACTGTAGATCGCCAATCAGTCGATCGTTGTAAAATTTAATTTTACCACTATCGGTCGATCGCGTAAAATAATCAGATTAATTGGATAATGGGAATATTAGATTTAAATATTAAAGACCTAAATTTTCATAGATGTTAATCACTTGGGACTTAAATGTCAAATGTAGCTCACTTGTTTGAAAACGTTGGCGACCCCTATAGACTATACTGTAATATTTTTACTATATTCCTACTTTTACTGAAGTATAATAGTATTCTATTATAATACGCAACCACGTATATACCTCATAATTAAAAGAATGTTGTAAAAAAAATATTTTTTTAAAAATGCATATTAAATCATATATTGATGTTTGTTTATTATTTTTGAATAATTTCGAATATTTTTACATATTTTTAAGATTTTTAAGAGAATATAATAAGAATATTTGAAGGCCTTTTAGAGTATATTAGCATCATATTTAAGGTATTTTGAGAGAATATAAATCCGGTCTTTAGTCATGACACTTGTTCACTGTGAAGAGATTCGCTCATTATTACATTTTGTATATTGTTTTGCGCTTAAGCCGACGCGGCAAAACGCCTGCGTATTTGCCGTACGCAATGAATAGGTGGTCCTGAATCGCACGTCCTATTTTGGATCGATCAGAGGGATCGGGACTAATTTTCTTAATAATAATAATGAAAAAATGGAAACAATTCAACTATTATATGGTATATTATAATATAATAACAAATTGTAGTTAGGCGCCCTTACACCAGTATAATAACCATTTAATTATACACAAAAATAATAAACTAAAATATTACAATATCAATAAAGTAATCATATAAAGGGAGGCACAGCTCCCAGTACCTCAATATATTTGAGTCCCGCTGGATTCTATCCCACGCGACCGTGGATAACTCGACACGTGCGACGGGAACTCAAATACACGGACGATCCGCAACGGCAGGGGCAAACTGGAATGGGCCCCGGGTACAAATTCCTGGTTACAGGCAAATCACAAAAGAAAGGGTGTACTAACTAAATATAGATAAAAAACACTGTTCTAAAAACACCACAATCGTACACCAAACGCGCAAGACACACGCAGAGGCTCACATCACGGGAGTCACTCGACGACAGATAAACGCCGATCTCGAGAACATTCTCTACGGCCCCGGTGAACAGATCAATCCGATAAGATATGAGACCGGTTCCGGGCCCGCAGAGAGTATAAGCAGCGAGTCTCAAACATATATAATAATAAACAATCAAAACGCTAAAGTCCTAATTATGACAAAGTTTATAAAATCTGCCCAGTTATAAATCATTTCAACAAAACTTTTTCTGAAACAATGAGAGCAACGAAATTACAAGCTATTGACGAACATATGATACGATTTAAAGGTCAAAATTGAATGAAACAGTATATGAAAAACAAACCAATATCCTGGGGCTTAAAGTTATGGTGCAAGTGTGACTCAGAGACTGGCTACTTGTTTGAATTTGACATTTATACCGGGAAGAAGATAAATAAGTAAATTGACTTAGGTGAATCTGTTGTTTATCAATTATGTGAACCTTTATATGATCTAGATTGTGAAGTATATTTTGATATTTTTTTTAATTAATCTATTCTTCAACTGGAATTGCTATGAAATAATCTTAGAGCTTGTTGTACTGTACGTCGTAACCAAAAACACACACCTACTGGTTTTCCATCTGATAAAAAAATGAAAAAGGGTGATATAATTTTATTAAGGTGTCAAATGGTGTTTAATGTACAAAGTGGTTAGATAATATTCCTGTTTTTATGTGTATAAACTTCATTTCTCCTCTTTTAGAAATTCAAGTCAATTAGGTAGTGTAAATAAAATTAACATTCGATGTCCTTTGGTAATACAAAAATATAACAAAGGTATGGGTGGTGTTGACTTGATGGATCAAAACAAAAGTATATTATGAAATTGATCGTAAGTCTAAGTTAAAATACTATCTTTGTATATTTTTTGATATTTTTGATTTGGGAATAAATAATGCATTTAATGCATTTATTGTGTACTCGAAAATTGTAACACAATTACAAAATACCCAAGAAATGTCCTTATCTCTTTTAAAGTATAGAGCTAAATTAGCTTAACTACTACTTAATAAATTTATTAGTCGCCGAAGAGTTTACGAGTCTCAGAAACTTGGTTCACGTGGTCAATGTAAATATAAACGTACAACGCCAGTTCAAGCATTGCAAAAAGTTGAAATCCGAAAAAGATATAAAATATAATATATACAGCCAAAGGAATTTATAGTGGGACAAACACAGTATGCACAACTTGTAATATTCCATTGTGTTTTACAAATAATAAAAACTGTTTTACTACCTATTCACTACACATAAATTTTAAAAAATAAGTAAAAATGTAATTTTTTCTAGAATGGTATATTATTTTTAATTTTTATTAGATTTTTATTTATAATTAAGACCTAATTTTTTAAATTCAAAATTTAATGCTATTTATATTTATTATAATATTTAATTTAAATATGTTAAGAAAAAAAGTTTTTAAAATTGTTCTGATATTTGATATTTGTTACAAAATATAACCTTTGTGGACGATATGCACACATATGTGCCATGAAATATATAATAAATGATTTGTTCTAAAAATAAACCAAAATGTTTTTTTGTATAATTTAAGTATTTTTTTATATAAATTATAACTCAATTTGACGATTAGGGGCAGCATTAAGTTTTTGTCTTCAAAGGGTTAATTATGTTATAATATGCAATAAGAAAACATTGTAAAAAAATTATTACTAAAAAACGTTATTGATAATTGATAATTAGAGAACGAATTTTAATTTAGTACAAAATTAAAAATATTAAAATATACATTTGTTTATTAATTTGTAAATATTTAATTCATAAAAACGTAACATCGTAAAATACTAAAATAAAAACGGAAATTCTACAATAATACTGATAACGTATGTTTATTTATAAAATATTCAAAAATATTGAATTATTCTAAAATATTTAAAAATATTTAAAATAAAATTAGCATGAGCTTATTTAAAATTAAATGAAACGTACACATATGTCATCAATTTTCCAATGTTAAGACTACATAAAAATATTTATTTAAATATTAAGTAAGAATATACTCGTAGATATATAGTTTAAATGATATATAAATATAATATTAATGTAAATATTTTGTCAAATTTGGCAAAACACACTGCAGAGAGTCTGTTATTATTTATAAGAGTATTAAGAGTATTAAGAGCTCACTATTATTTCCCTTTCCCATACAGCATTGCTCTAAACACAACTTTAAACATTTATAATTTTAATGTTTATGGATGTTATGGCAAGTTATACTCGGCAACAGTTTTAAATTAAAACGGGTAGTTGATTAATGGTAATCAAATGTTAGTTAAATAAGATTACATTTTTATATTTCAAGTTACAGAGGGGTGCACGTTGAAAAATATGAAAAAATATAATCGAGTATTTTGAAAATCGAATGTGAAAACAACGCGATAAATATACCGCTATGTGTGTACATCATATTACTGTATGCACTGTGCACGTTATGTTGCTATATAGTTATATAATTAAAGCATAAGTGTTATATATTTATATATGTATACATACAGATTAACTATAAATGTACAGAGTGTGCACGGTCAAACCTAACATTGTCTACGTGATGTGTAAGATAAATACATCGTTGAACCCGTGAGAGATCAATAACCATTGATTTCGCATTCACTACGTAATGATTATTATCACCATTCGATACAATAACATTATATTACTGTATTATACGCATGGTAAACTGAAGTGCGTATATATACGTATAAACGTATTGCCGTTACGCGCACGCACTACTGCTCTTTTTCCCGTACCCTCTGCTTCCTACCCTTCTCGCCGATTTACTGTCGTTTATCGGTTTTTCCCCTACCACCGCTCTCTTTTCCGTGCTACGTCAAAAACAGCAGCGTAATCTTCTATCCCCGTATATTCCTCGGTTTTCTATTTGAAATCTCTATTCTAATATCATAAATGCAATACAGCCGTATTTTTTTATTTATGTATACATGTTTTTTTTTGCTTTCATGTACGGGCTCCAATCCGCCGACAGCCAACAGTCGAGCTGACATTCTGATATTACTGATGGTGAATATAAGCACGACAGCGTAGTCGATTTGAATTTTTTCCACTCCGAACGGAATATTTTGCCGACGAAATTTTATTTTTTTTTACCGTTTCGCTCGTACAATATTTCCAACGCCTATTTTCCATTAATGTTCGCGCAGTGCTGTAAATAATATTTCGTTTACGGGTCTTATGACTACGATATCGGTTCGTGTACACGGTTTAAAAAACATAACATATCTGTTAACCGTCATATTGTATTATATTGGATACAACAATAATCGTTAAAATGTGTACTGAGTACACAAAAACGATTTCATTTCACACGATATTATGATCGCTGTGGTTCAAGTTTTAGCGTGATATCATAATACACACATAAACTAAGGAAGTGTTCTTTATTTTTTTTCTTTTCACTCCAAATCCTTAAATCGATTAGGTATCCTATATTTACACTCGGTCGTATTATCTCATTATTATTGTTAAAGGCCGTCGTTTTTTTTTTTTCTCTCTTGCTATTATCGTCGTTCGTTTTCCGTGGAAGGTTGTGCGACGAGGGGTAGCTAACTGCAACTCGGTGGAGGTAACCTGGGCGTGACGCCTGCTCCCTCGAGGCACGCCCACGGAAGCAGTAGCAGCAATGGCCGACCATACTCGACAATTATCGTCAGTACAGCATCCCTCATCTCTCTCTACCCACTGGCATTCGCTTCATCCCCTTCTTCTATTGCTCGAAAGGGAGCGCAGGAGTGAAACGATTGAGAGGAAAAACAATGATGGTGGTGGCCAAAAACATTAAGGCCGAGAGAAGACCACCGTCGTTTACCGCCAGTGTCATAATCAGTGCGAAATCAGCCGCCGTTGTTGTATTATCATCCATAACAATTTATATTGTCGTTGAGAATAACGAGAAAAATAATTTAAATAATTAAAACAATAACAATAAAATCGTCTTGTGTAATTAATAACTATGTGCTAAAAAGTTTACTGTTGGCAGATGTGCGCATAATAGTTTTACGGTGGTGCGAATGTGTGTTTATTATGTGACTGTAAGGACTATTGGATATATGTTTACATATAATGGGTATCACATGGGTGAAAAATAAAACTATAAGGTTTTTTCTATGTTGATATTATTATCATTATTATTATTTAAAATAATATACAATGTTGATTAATTAGCCACCCACTCTGTAATATATATATATATATACATACATTGTTTTATATATATATTATATTGTGAAATACGTGTGAAAATGTTGCGAAACAAAAGTATTGGCACGCGATTCTTACGGTGGTAACAACATTTTGTGATTTATTTGTGATTTAAATGTGTTAATTACTAAAATAAATTTAAAACAGTTTTCTGTAGATATATATTTCGTAACTACCGACTTTTGGTTTTTACAAAACGAATTCCATGGAGAATACAACGTCTAATGCATATACTGCTGGCAGTCGATCTCCGAACAAGAACAGCGAATTGAAGAATTCGGATAATATCGACGACTGTCAACTGCAACAGCATCAAAGGAGGCAAAGAACGGCCGGTGGTAATAATAGTCGATGGTGTACCAGCAGCGTGCGATCTCGTACCTCGACATCTTTTCTTATACACAATCTGCTTATATCCTGTGCCGACGACACTAGTGATGGGCCTACGAATACATCTCCGCCGTCGCTACCAATGGTCGAACAGGACAACGACAACGAAGAAACCAGCAGCAGTAGCAGTGAAAGCAGAAGTAGAAGTTGTAGCCCGCGAGATATGCCGTTATCATCTCCCGTAGTGAATTCCATAGACGGAAATGAGGATGTCAACGGGGTGTACAACAACGCAGGCAGCTACAGGATCAAGAGACGTAAATGTTCTATTCCATTCAGAAGAAGGACGACTAAGAAAAAAGACAGTATAAGTACTAATACGAGCGGTGACAGCGATGACGAAAAAATAGAAAGTAAGAGAATCATTAACATTCTTGAAATTGATACATAATTAATAAATTTATTTTTTACATACTTTTTACTGTTAGAATGTCCATTACCTAAAATTGAAACGACTCATAGATAACATAAACGGAATTCATATACATAGGTATCTTGTTTTTTAAATGTCAGTACAGTATTCATTTGTGTTGAAAAACATATTGGTGTTGTGAATATGTACTGATTTAAGAAATAAGTATTTTAATTTATTTTTAAAATTTAAACAGTACTTATTTTAACTATTAATTATTAAATACGAGAATAATAGTAAATTTATAATATAGGTATACTATAATTTTTTTATTTTTCTATTATTAATATTTAATTTTACGAAAGGTTTATTTCTTTTATGCTGGATACGTTAATTTGCCATTTAATTTAAAATGTAACGAATTTACGAACGAATAAATAGAAAATCTGTACAATATAAATATAATTGAGTGAATAGATCGGTCGATTATTACAAATCTTCGAGATTCTATTTCGGTCACATGTCTGAATCACTACTTGCTATACAATGTTAGTGTAATAAAATATAAGTCTGTTTTAATGAATTCTACGACGAACATAATTTATAATGGAATTAATTAATTATTTTTTTGAATTAAACCCTATTGTACCAAAGGGTGGTGGACGATTCGGGTTTATGAAAATATTGCAGTGGAACTGAAACAATTTTTCCGAGTAAAAATTACTCAATCGTTCACGTCATCATGAATTTCATTCGACAAAACACGGATTAATATCATTATTACCACACCAGTAGGACAACGGTTTCATTTTTTATTTATATTTTATATATATATATATATTTTTTTTTTATCGAAACAATTTAATCGTTTCAATATCCCACTCCGCCTACGAAACCATTTGTATCTCCGTACACTTGTGTTCGTATTACTATATGCACACGTTTCAATGTTCCCAAACGTATGTAATTGGTGTACCGTTCAATCACCGGCCAATCAATGTATTATCAACCCGATGTTAACAGCCGATAAAGAATCACCGACGCCGGCGGTTACTGCGGCGGACGAGCCGCAAACGCAATCATCGGGCGCTCGACCACCTCCAATCTCGATGTACTTATCTGCCGCGATGAACCACCGGCACGTGCACCAGTCCGCGGCCCAGACGTCGACTCCTCCGACGGCCGTACCGACGTCGACCACGCCGGCGTCCTCGTTGAACTTCAGCGTGAACGCCATACTCAGCGGCGGAGCATGTTCCAACGGCCGGAGCAACAGCACCAGCAGCAACTGCAGCACCGGCAGCATAGGCAGCAACGGGTCGAGTGGCACTGGGTACAACGGAGGTAAGATCGTCGCCCACCAGCAGAACATCTTCGACACCGGCCAACAACAGCACAACCAACACTTGGCTTCCGCTGCTTTCCTGAGGATCACAGCGGCGGCCGCTGCCGCTTCCGCGTCGTCGTCGTCGTCGTCCGCGTCAGGTAAACGCAACTGCATTGCATATTTAACGAACACTATTATAAATATTTAAATACGCGCGCGCGTCGTTCACGCTGTATTTTCCACCGCACCGATGGCGGTCAAACCGATTTTTACTTTTAACTTCGGTGTGCACCATCATGTACAATACATCGGCCGACGGCTGATTTGTTCTTTGAGAAGTTGATTGCGCGAAAAACCGTTTTTGTATAATTCGTCATCGATTAACGACGGCGATAATTACGACTCGGCTTTTGGGAAGACATAAGCGATTTGTAAATATCCGGATCAGATTTCTTTCTTTTGTAGCATTGAAAAAAATCGAAAGTCATATTTTAATTCTTCGCATTGACCATTAAAAATATATACATATATATTGTCCGTGCGAAACAAAATAATGAGTTGAAGCGACAATGGTGTCTATTTATATGATAATAATAATTGTTCCATAGTTGTAGGCAATTTTCTCGTTCACGTACATTCGTTATGGATAAAAATGTTAGTTTTTTTTTTTTTTATAATTTTTAAGGAGGAATACAGCACTTGTACTCCACTTCCTCTACAAATCTTTATAACTGTGCGGTGTGTGCATCAAGTAGTAAAATAAATAATTTATAAAAGTATATTGTGAATAAAACGATTTTCTACACCTAGGAAGTAGATGCCCGATATTTCGGTCATTATACGGTACAGGTACATTATTAGTTACTTATTACGTATATCATGTTGGATTGTAAAAATGATTTGGAGCAGTGCTAGGTTTATTGAAAGATTGTTTAAAGTAATTAGTCTATTACTGTTTTTCGTTTACTATATTTATCGTGGCAGTTAATTTTGTTATTTATAAACATTTTGATTGAAAATTGAAGTTTTTAGAGAACAATTTGTATTTGAATCTGTAAAGGTATCACATGAAAGTTTATTGCGTGTTTTTACAGCTCTAATTGCATCTAACGTTTCCATAAAAAAATCATTTTTCATCTCAAAACCAATATAAATGGCTATTGTGTGGCAATCAGAATTTAAAATTATAATAAAACACTCGGGAGACGCTTTAAAACCACCCGCGTTCGACCGTTTGGCCACACCTGCAGCGCTATAGAAAATCCGGAATAACAATGATAATAGTAATAACTGTATAGCCGTCGACGCCGATTAAATGCGAGAACAATAAGAATTGGAATTTTTGCCAGGGAACAAAGGCACGTAGAATATTATGGACGAGCATAATTAGTGTAGATTACAAAAAAAAAAAAAATATATATAAGAACAAAAATATTAATACGCGCATGATGTATTTAACGGCTCTGAACTTTATATTTTGGCAGGAGAGATAAATAAATATAGTAAATTGTTAGGTTATTCACACATCTTATACAATAATGTTTAATGGCATCATTTTTCACATAGTATAAATATATGATAAAGGCATGACGCTATAATATTGAAGTATATTATTATTATTATGGTGATAGTGGGTGGGGCTGCCATTCGATCTTCTCCTTTTTTCCTTTGCTATAACTTTCATTTTTTTCTTATATCCTAAACGGGTATAAAGTGGCGCGTTGTGAAATTTATAGCACTCGCCGTTTAGTGCTGTCATCCACAGCCCTTTTCACACATTTATCTCTTTACATACATAAAATTTCTTATTACGACAACTGTAACATAATTATTATGACTTACCTTTTATTATTATTAATATAAATATTATTATGGCAACGCGCCTTTAATCTTACCACAAAATAACCAGATTTTATGTTTACGCGTGTGAATAAAATGGACACGCCGTATTAAAAATAAACAGTTACTAGTAACTTTAGTAATACGTATTATTTTTTATTCTCTCTTTGGTTGTGTATAATGTCTATATTATTACGTTTGTTTTCGAGCATCTTCGATGTACATACATGGATTTGATATAAACGGTTTTTAGCCATCGATACATGTAGGTAAACACTCATGCACGTCTAACACTCCTCTGTTTACTCGAACTTATAGATATACAATTTCATGCTGTATAATCGATTAGGAGGTATCTCACTAAATCATATTATAACATTATAACAACAAACACAGCTGGAATGCCGCTATATGTCAAAGCTCTTTAAGTACTGATAGCTACGAATAACAGTAACATAAAACTGCGTACAAAATGTTTGAACTACAATTTAACTAAATGACTATATGCAGTATTATTAGTGAACCGTATTGAGTTACACAGGAACGACACGAAACACCGATCTCTAGAAAGTAAATATTATAAAAATGAAATATAATCTACAAGAGTTTTTATCAATGGAGCACAATGCGTATACAAACGATATACATTATTTTTGTGCATTGTTCTTTTAGCCTAGCCGAATTATCGAATAAAGTACTCAAGTTCTATGAGTATTGAAATAAAATTAAAAAACTTAAAATACCTTTATAATAACGTTGTGCAGGTATATTGTATGAATATATACATTTATATAAGCTATATAAATGTACACTTAAATATTAATTTCCAACACGACTGCACGAATACTATTGCTAATATAGATTGTTTTATTTGAAGTAATGTTCTCAGACGATTTGAGTTTATTAATGTTTCAACTATAAACGCGGCAATCGCTTTGGATATAAAATATATAAGGCGTTTTAAATAAACTTATCCCATTCTCTTAAATTTGTATTGGATATAAAAGTTAGAATTATTGTAATTTTTAATACCATTTTCACATTTTCTACGCCTTCCTTTTATATTATTTTTTAAGAGTTAATTAGTTTTAAGTTCACCTAACTCTGGAAAATCTTACCTTTTTAAATAATTGTCTCGAAATCATAATGATTGCTTTCGATTTTCGTTCACATGGAACAAAATATTATATTAATTTTCACTACTTTATATTAATACAGTGAACAAATAATCTACAAATAATAAATTATAAAATAGACAAGAATAAAACAACGATGGTTGATAAGTTAATAATAGTTAACAATAGTAACTGGTGTACATACATGTATTGTAAATATAAAATTTCATATCTACAAAATTTGTCTACATTTGTACAGATATTCGTAATGTGTGATTAATTAATTAATCTATTACACTTCAATAATGTAGTCTTACAAGTAACAATATTGAATATACTAGTATTAAACTCAATATAATAGTATTCACTGACTAATCATCAGATTTTGAAGAATTAATTGCTTCAAAATAATACCTTCATTACGCCACTGCCTAGATGTTTTCCAACACAAAAGTATTTAATGGTAAAATTGTAAAAGTTACACAAAAAAATCAAAACACTTAGTCTTAGCTAATTTAACATTTCCTTTGTACACATTTACATTTAAAATTAGTTTTTCAATAATAAGAACATTTTTTTTTTTTGGCTATCTAATAGTTTTTTGTACATCACGAGCCTTGTAAAATCGCACTTTAAATTAGGTATCGTACCCTCTACTTGAAAATGTTTTGTTCAGTGATTAGAATTATTAAATAATTAGATCTCTTTATCTTAGGTATGAAACAGTGAAAACGTTTACCAGTTTATCTATTGCAGTTTGTTCACAAAATACAATTGTAATCTGGCTTTACAGTTACAGCGTGTGGTATTTAATTTAATCGTGATGTCGGAGCCATAAGTTCAAAGAGTTTTAAAGGTACCCATGTTTGTTTTCATCGTTTTGTATCCTTTATTTATCTTCTAACTAGTATTTCATCACAAAAGAATTTCTTTTGACTATATATATACTAAGTTACTTTACCTATCACGTAAAAGCATATACAAATTTCCCCGTAATGTCATCACCATTCTATTGTATGGCATGTTCATAAAAAAAACATCGACCGATTTCATATTAGTAAAACAATTTTTTGAGGAACTACATATTTCTTATTCTTGCGATCGTTGTACAATTGGTACTTTTGGAGTATTTCATTAATATCGATAAGACTGAGCAGTGGCGTATTTACGGGGGGGGGGGGGCCAGGGGTACTGGACCCCCCCAGAACCTCTCAAAAAAATAAAAAATTAACAACAATTCTTACATATTTGCAGAATTGGGTATGTTAAACATTCACAGGGAAGTTAAAATTACTGTTGATGAAGTGATAGAGGAGTTGGCCAAAAAATCGAGACAACTGGAATTTATCTTATAACAAAACTTTGTAATATATAATGCTAAATACAATATATAGGTACATATATATAATATTACATAAGACTATACGATTATTACATTATATATTTAGTTCAACTTCCTCCAAAAACTGCATATGGACGTAACTATTACAATATAATACATAGTTTATATTAATTATGTATAAACTGTGGACCCCCCCTCCCCAGAAAAAATTTAAAATACGCCACTGAGACTGAGAATCGTTTAAAATAGATTAAATTACAACGGTTTAATAGAAGCCATATTAAATACTCATTGTGTAATCTAAAAAAATTAAGAGAATGTTTTACTACTCGGTGTAGCTAAAAAGATTGTCCATCTCAAATATATTGTACCAGTACCTTGTTTATACTATGTAAATACAAGGTCATCTATAAAAAAAAAGATTAAAAATAAAAGTAAATAAGCTCTCGTTCATTCAACTTTAACTAGGTAATATAATTGATTTTATAATAAGCAGTTAGGTTTAGTTGTTAAAATTGGAAGCGGCTACGTGGATGTAGCCACTAGGTATTAATGTAATCTCTTGCATTAACATGATAAAAATAGTTTTTCAATTATTTATTTTATTATTTATGAATTTATTGTTATTAACAATATAATTTAAGTTAATCGTTGTTTATTTTGTTGAAACCCTGTTTTTATAAAAATTGAATACAAACAATTACAAAGGTGCTGAGTGATTGCGTCCTCGTAGCCGTTACCAATTTTCACAATCTTATGGCGTACCTATATAATACGAAATCAGTAGTATAACCAATACAAACAACATTAACTACACTGATTGAATACATCGAGTCTGAAACACTCGATCATTTAAAGTTTGCATAATTTTGCATTAATGATTATCAAGGGAAATAATTGTATTTGGTACGATTCCGCTTTCTATTATTAATACTAAATGAATATTGAATGACATACATTCACAAAGGGTATTATAAAGTTTAAATTATTATTGAAATATTATGTATTGGTATGTCACGCCATAACAAGAGATTAATAAACATTCAAAACCAATTCCGAGATTGTCGGGCAAGAAGATTGAATGATTTTAATCCCTTTTGCGCGATTAATTTAAAACTGATAATAATGTGAAAAACTCGTCATATTAGTGTACATTCGTATACTCGAATCTAGTGATCGGATCAATATTACCAAATGCGTTGGCCGAAAATTTTTCTAGACATAATATTCGTGTGATACCATATTATTTTCTAATAAATTATCAGATCTTATGAGGGCTGCGAGCATAGTTTATTGCTAAATCCGCATAAATTATAATTATAATGTATCACGCGAAAAATCTAAATAATTTATATGGATATTGTGTTTAAATTAAATAACTGATTCGCTTGATCTGGCTATTTTTTACTTGAACGTGGACAGAAATGGACTGTTGACATCGCGACCGTTGTGACTACATTATAATAGGTAATAATCTGGGGCAGTAGATATGCTTGTCCCAGGCCCCGTTTGCTATAAAGACGTTCTTAAATTCATGAAAAATCAATATAAAAATACGATATAATGTCTGTTATAACTTATAACTTTTTTGTTATGAATACAATTAGGTCCCATGTTCTACCATCATCACCATCTCGCTTCCGTCGCCGCCGCCGCAGCCGCCGCTCATCACCATCATAGTCATCACCACCAAAACCATCAGTTGCATCAAAACAGAGTGCACGGGGTCACCACGCCGTCTCCGCCGCCGCTGTCGCTGCCGTCTCGTCTGCAACCGGCCACGTCGATCACTCCGCCTGCCACCGCTTCTTCCGCGGCGGCCTACCTGACGGACACCACGAGCACAGCTACCACGTCCTGCCGGCAACAGACCCCGCGAACAATCGCCAAACCGATCGCGCGCCGACCGGCCAATGCCGCCGTGAACCCGAATGCCACCAACGGGAATCTCCACAACTCCACGCTGCTGGCGCTGGCGGCCGCCGCGGCCGCGGCCACTGCGAGCCCGTCGTCCAACCGACCGTCCAGCGACGGTGGCAGCGGCGGCGCGGGCATCGCTAACGGTGCCGCCGTCGACGGAGGCAGCGGAGGCGGCGGTAGCGGCGGTCCTATCGCGTGTAACTCTCCCGCTCTGGCGAACTCGGCCGCCGTTTCGTCTTCGTCCGCGACACCCGGTAATTAATATTTTTCTTACACGTAACGCTATTAGAGATTAATCACGTTCGCCGTGTGACCTCCTAGCCGCGTGGTGCTGTGCACACAGTGCATACGATATTGTTTAAAGCGCTGCTGTTATTACCCGAACAACATCAGGCCGTGAAATGATTAATTACTTAAATTTTGTTTAAAGCAATTTGTAATCTTCATCGTGAACGGTGCTGGTTCATTATGTAGTAATAAATGGTCGTCGTACGGAAATAATAGCCGCGTCAGTGTATTAGCAGTAGAAGTATTTAGTAACGCGTAAAGATGATCGTAGTAGTAGTAGTAGTAGTAGTAGTAGTAGTAGTAGTAGTAGTAGTAGTAGTAGTGGTAATATAGCGTAAGTGCAGAAAGTTTGTTGTTTTCTGATTAGTTCGTCAGAGGTGTACTAATTATAAATATATAAACATACTTAAGCGTACTCGTATATTAGTGTGTGCGCGTGTAAAAACATGTTATTTGCCGGTGACCCGGAAGAGATTTCCTCCGTTTTAGTAACAACGGCAAAAAACTCGGATAATAATTAATTATAAAATAATCGCGTTAGCGTCCAACTTTGAGAGCAACGGTACGTCGTCAGCGGAGGGAGAAACGCTGTTATCGTCGAATCTACGAAATTGTGTTTAATAAAAGTAATAAAAATCTGTTTAACCTTAATGGGATTTCGCTGTGAGTTTAATTTAACGCATAAGAGGATATAAATATCGAGATCAATAGAAAAATAAAAATAAATAAACCAATAAACTTATAGTTTTCTTTCCCCCTAACTCGAAAACAATCGTTTTAGTTTTATCGTGAATTTCAACGCTCTCGTGAACGTTTGTCTGTCTAGAAAATATTCTTCCTCTTTCTTCGCTAGAAATCGCTGAAAAATTATGGGTATATCAATCATAATTATTTCGCATGTTTATTTACCTATTAATTTCATTTTACCTTTTTTCCTCCCGAGTGGACAGATGGGTTTGGTCTCAACGTGTCCACGTCAAGCGGAATCCACTGCATCATGATTACTACACAAGGCGTATTTTAATCTAATATATTTTTACGTAAAGCGTATTGAACCGCGACTTAGCGTGTGTACAGATATAAATATACATACGAGTATATTTCTATTATACTTGTGCGATTGTTATTATCAACTTTGAGAATCCGTAAATCAAAAGCAGACTATAGCGATATGTGACACGATCATGCGAGGATATTGTGTTTTTGACGAATGATATCGCCGCGTTAGAACGGATCGTTAAATGCATTCGCGTGCGTCGTAAACACAAACTTGCGTATCCAGAAAGTATAATGCGCGTGACTGCGGACGACGACGACGACGACGACGCCGAACGACACGTGCCGCACCGACGTCTATTCGACTGAAATGTCATCGGCAGCATATGCAGCGGTGGTGATATTATATTCATACATTGTCGTTATTGTTATTACGATTTTACGTGGCTTCAAATAACCGCCGAATCGGAAATCGCCCCCTCTCCCTCTTAATTCGGTAGGTGGGTGGGCGATTGATCGATACTCGATGGTCAATTTTCAGTCATAACAATAAGTACATCAATACACTTATGTTACTTAATTTATATAACGCAAGCGCAGCGACCGATTTTTTTTTTTTCATAGGTGGTTATTGAATACTTTTGTTTTGCCCCCTCCCCGTTCCTCCATAATTAGTTTGCGCTAGTTTGCGCCTCTGCCGCCGATGTTTGTCGTATGAGCGGAAGAACAACAAAAGAAACTCCGGACACCAAAGCCGTAACTAGAGTGAGGCGAGCGAGGCATTTGACTTGGTCGCCTGAAGTTTGGGGGGGGGGGGGCGCAAAAATATTGAAAAATTAACTTATTTTAAGAAATGTTATTTCTTGTTTTGCTAGAAAACTAGTTACAATTTTTTAGATTTTTCTGAATCGTATTATACAAATTAAAAGCTTTGAGTGTGACAACACTAAAACCTAGGGGACGCATTGCTTCAGTTCTGCCTCGGGATAAAAAATGGCTCGGTACGGCTCTGCCGAACACCGATAGTGCATACGTGTTACTCGCCTAATACTGTTATTGTATCATAAATTGTTGCGATGATATTGTACTTGATTTATTATCATTAGCGCATGAATGACAAAGATTATCAAAATAAACCCTCATTTGTAAAATGACTTATTGTGATCAAATGTATTGTTGATGGGAATTAAAAAAATTTTAAAAAACAAAAAACAAAAATCGATAAAGTTAAAACAAGATTTCGTGGTATGGTTATGATAATAATAATAAGAATAATAATAATGTACAAGAGAGTAATAAATACAAGAGAAGAATTCGTGAAGAATGAAAAATGAACAAAAAGAAAAAAATAAAATAAGAAAAATATATTTTATAGAATGCGCGAACAAGAGAAATAACCAACTTCGCCCTGCACCATACATCCATCCACCCCCACAGTGCAGTGTAATCGAGTGCTGTGATTTCGCCACTCACCCTCTTATACCATCCGCGCACCGTCGTTGTTCTAATACACTTCTCTTCCTCCGACCGAACTCGTTTGCTGCCGCCCCCGTCGCCAATCCCTGGGCGAACCTGTCAAACGCACGCGCTACACGCTACCCTCGGCAGCACAACTACCCTTGTTCCTCTTCCACTTCCCCCCACCGTTTCTCTTTTCCACTCACTTATTATAATATATTTAATAATCCAATGCGGCCGCAAAAAAGGGACCCTTCCACGTATTCTTCTTACTATTGAAGTCAGTTGCACACACTGTCCACCGATTAGTGTTGTGTTGTCGTTATTAGCGTCTGTTGCACCGGATTTCATTCTGTTCTGATATGTATATATATATATTATACACTGCGTCAGTCCCCTCATTTTTTGTATAATAAAAATAATAATAAATAATTAAAAATTATCTTCTATGATGTATATAGCATAATATAACGCAGACGATTGCCACGCGGCAACATTTTGCAGAGCGTATTATAATACCATAGGTCCGTGACTAAAATGCGTATAACACTTGAGTTATTTTGAGGATAAAAATTATTATTATTATTATTATTATTGCAACACGTGCTGTTGGCGTCGCGAATATTGTCGCCCTGCTCTTTGCAACGTGGCGCTGAGCCGTTGACGCAACGCCGTAATAATCATAATAAGATGAGAAGGTAACAGCTGCGGTTGCTTATATTATTATTAACACCGTCAATGTGGTTATTTATTATTTATTTATACTTGAAACGAACATGGTATTATTTTAGAAAATTTACCGGTGCACTCGTGGTTTGTTGCATCCATCCCTCTCCTCAAAAGTTGTTTACCATAAGTGTCCGAAGTATGATTAATAAAATTTTTTTTTTCGATTTTCACTATTGATGTTTCAAAATATATAAATGCTGTTTGATTCTGCTAAAATAAAAAACTCAAACCTCGATTTATTTTTTTTAGCAAACAAATTTAATAATAAAACAATTTATTTGTTTGTTGAACATTGATTGACATGAAAATTAATTAATGCAATATAACCCTTGAGCGTTTATTAATTAGACTGTAACGTTATAACTTTTATTAAGTTGCATATTCTATTTTTATTTTTACACTGACTTCAATATTTAATTATAAAATCAATCGAGTTAAGATACATTATTTTAAATTGATACTTATGTCATTAGCAATTTAAAAATTAAATATTTTATTGACGTTAATGCAAATAATGATGTGTCGTTAATAATCACGGGTACCAAAATATACTACTCTACAAATTATCTTCAAAAGATAAAGATTTATTTTGATTTTGGGAATAAAATCATATTTCTTAATTTGAGATCGCAACGAAAGTTACAAATTAAATATGAATTTTTTTAATCAATAATCTGTTCTAAATTATACAAAGTTAAACAGAGGGTGCGAGAGCACGTGTGTGACACTCGCATAAAACATGATCATGTAAAATAGGTCAATAATTAATAATTTATACTTTAATTAACATATAGTCCGTCATACATACACACATATTATTCATTAATTATATTGTTTTGATTTGTTTTGTGAATATTTTAGGACCAGGTCGAACCAACGGCGCCGGAACGCACAGATTTCCTATTGTACACCCGTTATATAACTACCGTCATCACATGGCTCACCAGCATCCTCACTCTCATCACGAAATGCTCATGATGCAATCCAGATCAAACGGAGTCGGCGGAGTATCCAACTCGAACGGTTCGACGTCTTCGTCAATTGCCACGGTTCCACAGTCGCCTTTCTCATCCGCGGCCGTTTGGCCTTACGGAACAGGGCCCAGCGCGAATGGGGGTACGTCTGGAACTATGGCCGGAACATCACACCACCACAGGATCGCGCCGCTGCACCATCATCAGCATCACCCGTCAGCCACGACCATGTTGCTGATGAGCACCAACAACAACACGTTGAACGTGATGAACGGTGTGGTGGTTGGTGGGAACAACAGGGGCAAACCGCGGAGGGGTATGATGCGACGGGCCGTGTTCTCTGACGCGCAACGGAAGGGCTTGGAACGTCGGTTTCAGGTGCAAAAGTACATTAGCAAACCAGACAGAAAGCGACTGGCTGATAAGTTGTCGTTGAAAGATTCTCAGGTAATTTTAGACAAAATGGCTATTTTTTGTATTTTATACGATCGCATATAAATGTCCATATAGCGTAGAATAACAGTATAAAAAAACGAAATAGATGCCGTCATTTACAAAGGACACCTGCAATAGTGAAGTTTCTGTTTTTAATTTACAACAGTAGTCAAACTATTATCATAGTTTGGCACGATATCTTAAGCTATTATGTATTATCGAATAAAAATGAGAAATTTTTCCAAAACAAAATAATATAAGAAAACTGATGACGATGAATTTTCCCTTTTGTAATATATCTACTAGATATTGTTATTACTAATAACTAGGGCCCGTATTTCAATGCTAAGTGCATATTTTTTTGGTTGATCATACACAATGCTCTCTAAGAACATAATTCGTTTCATGTAACGAGAGTTTCAAAACTAAAAATTTTATTTTGCATTTTTTTTGCATATTTCGACGTTTTTTCATTATTAGAGCATTTTTAGTATTATTGGGTCATTTTATTTATTAATATTAGTATAATATTTTATTATACTAAAATTGTTATTGATAAATTAAATAAATTAACTAAACTGTGATATTTTTATCCTGATTGTAAAGATAATTTTATATTTTTTTCGATTTTAGTTTATTAAAGAATATTATTTAATTTACATGTTGTCCAGCAATAATCATTGTGGCATTATTTTCATTATGATATTAATCAAATATCTTTTGCAAAAATAATTCTATTATACTTGCATTAAATCTAATAAAATGGTAATTGTAACTATTGATTGACGGAGAATTAATAAAAGAATAAAATAAAATATAAATATTACAGTATAGTTATTTTTAAATTATATTTTTATGCATACAAAATATGATAATCTCAGAACTATTTTAGTTAAACGAGTTAAAAACAGATTGAAGCACGATCTGGTAACATATTAATAGATTTTTTTTTTTTGTTTTATTTAAAATTTAAAATGTATATGAAAATACACTATCCAAATTATTAATATAATAAATTGGCAGTCTTGTAATAAAAGAAAACTTTTCAGACGATTTCAGTTAATCTAAAATGATTATAATTTTATGTATACGTAGATATGAAACACATCCATATTCTTTGTTTGTTTAGATTTAAATTTATACTACTGTTGACTAAAAACTTCATTAATTACGGTAAACTCAATTATTATTATTATTAATATATATATATATATATATATATATTATAATTATAGTATTTTCTATAGTAATTATAATAAAAACATATTTATGAACACTTACAAATATACTAAAGAGTTAATTTTAAACTGTTGTAAAAGATAAAACGAATTTTCAAATAGTTTTGAAATGTTTATGTTATACCTACTGTAATCTTAAAAGTAAGAGTAAATACAATGATATAGGCAACCTGTATAATATGAAAAATTATAAATATTAAATAAAGCATAGTGAGTAGTTAATATTAATAATTAACACATGGTTAACTATTCAATTAACTCTTTGAAAAAGAAAATAGTATTTTTTATGTTTAATAAATCCAATTCTAACTGGTGATCTAATTTCATATCATCGGAAATCAATAATATGTTATTCATATTGTTCGTAAAATAAAAATGTGATGTACAAAGTTTGAGTGGGTCATAAAATTTAAGTTAAATAAAACTGTATGGTTATAAAATACTCAAATGATGTGTGTCAATTGTATGTTAGGTTTTATCGTGTTATCTCATTTTCCAACTAATAATATTCAAAATATATTTACTGAAATTTTCGCTGATCACTGTAATCGTATTTACAATTTGTATTCTTGACGAATATCTTTTATGTCCAACAAAAAGCTTTATAACATATTGGATGGTCGACTTTAACGGTTTTTAATTACCTATATTATAAGAATATAAAATTAGGTAAGATTTTATGGTATATTTTATTTTATGAATTCTCTCTTATAAATACTTAACGGGTTGATATCAAAGTTCGAATTTCCATATATATAAAATAAATTATTTTTGTCTGCCGTTTTATAAAAAAGTCAATAATTTTTTGCATGTAACTACAGTTATTCCAATCAAGCTTTGTTCACTTTAAAAATCAGTTTACGAATATTCAAAAACTTTCTTTCGAATTTCGAAAGTTAAACTGAAGTCTGAAAAGTTCAGTGGAAATTAGTATGTTAAGAAATTAATAATTAATAAATAATATGCATTTATTTGTTAACATATGTTCTAAAAGGTACTTGACATCAAATTATACGATAACGGACATAAATGTCTAAATATTTTCTTTTACATTATAAATTTAAAAATACGTAATTCATTTTAAAACTTTAACTTTTTCTAAAACAATATCTTGTAAAAATAATTATTATTACAACTATTTTATTACTTAAGTATACGCATTCATTCTATAATACACAGGTACCTACGCCTTTCTATATTATTTAAAATTATAGTGCTTACGTGGACGCAGTCGTAGACAACGTTGTAATCATTTGCATTTAACTTGATAAAAACAGATTTTTATGTATTAAAACAAAATAGAAAGCATACTATTTTTGAAATCCTGTTTTTATCAAACTGATTGTAAACGATTATAGCGATGTCTAGGGGCTGCGTCTATGTGGGCGTCATCCATTTAAACATTATGATGACCTATCTATATATTTTAATACGAATGGTATATTTAAAATTTATACCTTTTGTAACACTTAAAATTACAATAATAACATTGCACTATTCACCATGTGATGTTTTATTAATAGTTCGTAAAATGTAATCCTGGTAAACCGTTAAATAAATTACTTTTATATGGCCTAGAAAAGTGACTAAATGTGTTTTGAGTATTAAAAATTATTGATTACCTAATTAATTATTTATTGAAACATTTAATATTCAGGATAAATAACAAATAAAACAATATGGGCAAAAACTATATAAACATTTTGTAATCGTAAGTTCAGGAAAGAAAAGAGAGAACGAAAAATAATAAAGAATAAACATTAATTTTAAATAATGACAATTTAGAGATTCGATTAGTAATCATGTGAAAACAATATGAGGTTCTGGATTGAAATTTAGAACAATAAAAAAGGGAAATAACGTATTATTCCCAAGACGAAGATAGAGAAAAGAGACGGTTGAGTGTTTCGATATTTGGAGAGATGTTAATCCCTATATATAATCCAAGATGATTGAAATACTCGAAAGTTAAGTTAACCTAAACTCATAAGAAATTCAATTAAATATGAAGTGTTACACAAACGAATAGATTTGTTCAACAACTTTAAATGTTGGCTATCAAATTTAGACCTACTTAGTATGTCACTCGATTGATAGATTTTTTCGACTCACATGGTACTGTTTTTCTCTATAAGTGTATATGTATATATATTTGAAGGGATACGAGGAAAGACGACAACATCCAATATTCCTAAACTATTTAGTATTGTAGTTTCAAAGTTTCAGACCTCTGCCCTAACCTAGCTTTGGCCGTCATGGGTATAATTAAACTGTTATTATATCACTGAATATGATATTTTTTTCCCTAACTAATTTTACATATCGATCCGTTCTAAAACAAATGAAAAGATGATAAAATCATCAATTTTTTTTTTTTTAATTGATTATTATCGTTTTTCCCCGTAACCCCTCATTTATATGCGTGAGAGTATTTATTACGAATTGGATAAAACTTGATATAATAATGATGTTTATATTTTGATATTATTTGTGGTGACCATAGGTGAAAATATGGTTCCAAAACCGCCGAATGAAGTGGCGAAACACAAAGGAACGGGAACTACTAGCGGCCGGCACTGGTTGTCGTGAACAAACTTTACCAACGAAAAACAACCCGAATCCAGACTTGAGCGATGTGACCACTACGTCGACTTCTAACAATAACAACAATAACAACAACAACAACAACAACAACAACAACAACAACAATAGCAACAATAACAACAATAACAATACGTCTTCTTCGACGATGCAAATGGGCGGATGCACGCAGACCGCAGGAGCCGTGGTCGTGGCGTCGACACCTTCGAATGTAGCTAGTCAACACGAAAAGAAGAACGTTACTAACTGCAATAATAGCATGAAAAGCCACCAACATTTGCTCCAGCAGAAACAGATGCAGCAGAAAAAAATCAACGTAGCTGTGGATCAGATGTTGCTGAACAGAGGTGGCGGCGGACCTTTGGTCGCTAGGCAACAGCAAGTGTTGTAGTATTATAGCAGTATAATATATTATATGATATTGTAATTTTATGATTTTATATGTATACGCACTCACTCTATACATATACACATACTATATATACATCGTATACATCGTACACATCATTCACACACACACACACACACACACACACACACACACACACACACACACACACACACACACATACACCTGGATACGAAATTAAATTATTATGTACGTAACTATAAATTATATTTAATAATAATATTCGTAATTAAAATAATTATATTAATCATGATAACAATAATACGTGACATAATAATAAAATAAAATTCCCATTTAAACATAAAATTATTAATGTTTGAATGCTTTGTGCGATTACTAGCCCCAATAAACAGTAAAAATGTCAAAACTCGCAACGGTATATATGAAAAAAAAAAAAATTAATATATTGAATAAAGGGAAAAATTAATTATCGTATAGCATTATCAAATATATTTTCCATTTTTCCATAATGGACTACTATAATACGAATTTTTCTTTTCATTATTTGTACATATAATTTTTCTCTCTCTCTAAATCTCTATTATCGGATGAGTATATATATATTAAATTCGAATGGCGCACAGGAAAATATAAAAATAATGTTGTTGGGAAGTGAATACAAAGGGGCGGAAAAAATACTCAATAATATAATTTATATATATATATATATATATATATATATATATATATATATGTATGTATGTATAAAACGAGGCAAATAAAAACGACCGTCGAGTCAACTGACAAAATAAACGCAATAGAAAGAGGAAAAAACCCCGTCTCCTGCTCTGGAGAAAACATAATAGAGGTAAAAATTCCCTGTGTTTCTTCCTCCCTTCGTGCCATGGACATATATAATAATAATATGACAAAAACAGAAGTACCCGGGACTAGAGTATACATACATGCATACATACATACATACATACATATATAAAAAAATATCAAAATGGATAGAGAAAGAGAGAAAAAGAGAGGATTAATAGTAAGAGAGTTAATAATAATAATTCTCGAGCGTAATCGGCTGTCGTCATTTTCTCAAATCCTATTTACAAATAATGCCGCGTCCCATTCCACTCGACATATCGAACGAGCACCGCTCAGTCGTAGTACTCATTTTTTCTCGCAGTGGTGATGTACTGGGAAATATACAGGGAACGTTGTTCAAAGTCCGGGACAAGTATGATCGAGATTGCGCACAAAAACTCCGCCGCCGGAGTATCTATGGATCTCACGAGCAAAGTAGTCAAGGTGTCGGCATCATTGGGCGAAGTTTAACGAAATTACAACAGTGGCTGTGTCTGTTATAGCTGCGGTGTTAATACTACTTCTATGAGTGTAACATAAATATACATTGAGATATATTATTTTTACATATATATATATATATACTAATATACATAGTGTGGTGTACAGCCAGTGGGTACGTGGTAAGCGATTGCGCGAAAAGAATACGACGGAGAAAGAAGTGTGGAATAAAGGACAGGTATAAAGAAAAATTCCGAAAAGTAGGTGTGTGCACCGAGAAGGGAATTAATAATGGCGGCCATAATGCAAAAAAAATAAAAAAATAAAAGTTCAAACGGCGCGATAATAGCGAGTATATACATGTATAATATTATACAGCTATACAGAATAATGCGGTGTATGTATACGGTGCCGCCGCAGAAGGTAGTATAAATGATAAATAAATGGAATGGAGCTGGATGAAACGGGAAAAAAAAGGAAAACTGGCAATTATGATTATTAGTCGAGTTGGGGTGTGTTAGAAGGGGTGGATAGAAAAAGTGAGGAACACGTCAAAAACATAAGAAGAGGTCCTTTCCGAGGGTATTATGAAGGCAAAACAACAACAATATTGTTGTTGGCGTTATGCCAATGACGTTTTATGATTATTATTATTTTTTTCGCTATCATTATATAATCCTTTATTTATTTTTAAATTTTCCTGAAAAATAATGAAAAATATCGTAGCTATGAAATATTATGGAATAAATTTAAAAAAAAAAACGTATTAAAAGTACTCGCCCATAATATAACGGTGGTCAAAGTATATAACATATATCTGAATATCATACTTATGTGTACAGCCATACAGGTGTATTATTTTTTAATTTGAGGCGCAAGGCATTATGTAATTTATAAATTTTATGAATTTGTTTCTCTGTTTATTAATTATAATATAAAATATAATGAGGAAGTTGTATCAATCGTTTTTAATTTTAATTCACACCTTCAACATGTTCATTGAACTCAATGTACAATTTTTTTCAATAATGAAAGTTTCCATTTGTGGAAATTTTTAATGTGCATTTTAAATATATAAACCGTTACATAACACATTTTGCATAAAACAAGAAAAAATTCATTATTATTATGCACGTTAAATTATTTGTTGTTGCCATATTTTAAAACAATACGAAAAACCTGTTGATACGAATATAAAACTTAAATAAGTGTTTATTCTTTATCTAAAAAATTAGAAAATGTAAACAAGAAATAGACGTGTATGTAGCAAAATTTATAGCATATAACTACTTGTATGAGTTATATACTATTTACCTACTGCATCCAGGGCCATCCCTAGGGTAGGGCAAGCGGAACTTTTGTCCTAAGTTTCACTCTTAACTCTGTATCTACAAGTCCATCACTTTCATAAGTCATTTTCAAATGATAAATTATTTTCTAATAACAAAGTTTCCAAGAAAAGTAGCTGTTAAAAGAAAGAAAAAATTTTGATTACGAAAGTTTTAGTACATTTTCTAATTCTACTAGTGAAGATAATTTTAAAAATTAGTATTTTTTTCTAATTTTAGACAAAAGAATTTCTTCTTTAAGTAATATATTTAAACAATTGAAACAGTTTGATGATTATTTTGGTTCTTTATTTGATATATAAGGAAGTATTTCTGAAATGATTAAAAAAGATTTGATGAAGCATTATATGGATCTTCAGATATTACTACAAGTGGGTGAGACTAAAAATATTAATACAAAAGAAATTATTGTTAAAGATACTCTAAGTTTTAAAATAAATTCTCCAACACAGTGCTGATGACATATATTTTAATATTTTTATAAAATAAACAATCTTAACTATGCTTGTAATTACAGTTACAGCTGACTGATTGTTTTCAAAATTAAAATTAATAAAAATTATCTTCGTAGTGATTTATCACAAAAAATAACTACATACTTGTCTATAAAGGTACTTTTATATATTATTTAGTAGATACTTCGATAAAAATGGACCTAAGAAACTTTGAAGGAATAAAATATATTTTAAGTTTATACATTTATTGTTAATCAAAATAATAATTACATTGGTAGAACGGAGGAGGAGGTAGTGTGAAGATTTCAGTATTAATAGATTTAGAAATTTATTTTTCAATATATAATATTGAGGTGTTGTTGAACCTTTCCTGCATATAGAAGTTCTAAGTCAAGTTTTCATTCTACGCATGGCCGAAAAATTCCTTTCACAAGTGGAGGAACTTAAAGGAATTGTTAAAGCAACTTGAAATAGTTTATATAAATTAGGGAAAGTCTGTTTTGTTAAAACCTTTTTCACATAATTTAAAGTTATACAATTTTCATCAGTAGACTGCAATATACAATTCTTTGCCACTTCTACTTCTGGCTGTAATACATCTTTAGATACATTCATCAAATCCTGAAAAATATAAAAAATACAGGTTCACTTTTAATAAAACTAGAAAATTAGAGCATATTTAAGTAAATATTAATTTTCAGAAACCGATACGACACTTACTTTATAATGATCTACAAAAAGAAAAGACTTTCCTCAAAGTTTAATTGAAAAAATTGATCAACAGCTGTAGCCATTTGGAGGCTTTCAGTAGAAAATCTTTTTTCCAGATTTATCAAAATAGCATCAAATACAGGAAAGAAAGCTTTTTTTCTAAAATAATCTTCAATGGTTTCAATGGTGTCATTAATATTTTGTTCAGCACTTGTGGTTGCAGTAGTATCAAAATGTTTAAGATTGTGTGGCTCTTGTTTTTTTTCTTTTGTATCCTAATTAAGTAAATATTAACTTAAAATCATTATAATTATAAATAAATATAATATGTTTATTAAGTCTTACCTAAAGTGATCCGGGAATAAACAAAGACCGTAGAAGAGCCAATTTTATTTTAGAACATAGAGCGAGGGAACGGTCGATAGCTTTAATTAAGCCCCCCCCAAGTCCCCCCCCCCCCCGATATCCACCTATGTATGATTGTATGTACTCTTTTTTGTATAATGTTGGAAGTCAAAGCGCAAAAAAAAAATAAACTCTTAACATAATATAATATTACACGTTGAACAAAAACTAGGATGGTGATAATAAGACAAAAAAAAATCAACGTTCATAATCACGGCCAAGAAAATAACCTAAAATTTGCCCGGAGAAAACTATCCCGTTACCTGTGTTATTTATTAATATTTAAACTACTTTACAAGATGTAAAAGCTTCGTTTTCTCGAATAATTTAAAAAACATATTTCTAAGGTTTTCAGCATCAACATAGTTTTTTCGGCTATAATTTTTATTTTTTAGCAATTATTATGGGTTCTTAAACAATATTTTTCAGACTAATAGACATTTTAGTTGTTTCTAATTTTTGATAAATGACTTTCTATAACTAAAAATAAATTAAAGTTTACCGTAGCACAATATAGTATGATAAAAAATGATTTCCTCTTCAATGGATTTCTTCAAACATTAAATTAAGTACCAATTCTCTACAACAAAGATTACTTATGAATACATAGTTTAAAAATGTATTTAATGTATTGTTAATTTTAATTAAAGGTATAGCAGTGGCGGCTTGTGCTATAGTGCACAGGAGCACGTGAACCACATAACAAAATTATATAAAAAACTATTAGATTCCAAAGTAAATTATAATCGGTTAATATACACATAGTCTGTAATTAACAAAAAAGTTTTTGCAGTTTTTCGTGTTGAAAAGGGTGTCTTTAGCGATTAAATAATTAACGGAGTACACGTTCGTTGTGCTTCAGACGGCCGCACAAAAGTTGGCTACATTTGTA